CGATCTGCCGACAAACAGCTGATCGGCAGATCGGGGCAGCCATTTAAATTTAAATGAAGCCGCGATTATTTTAATCGCGGCTTCATTTCCCTCTTTCGATCTGGCTAATCTACATGCCTCCGTCGAAGGAGGCATGTAGTCTAGACACACCCTTAGAGCTAACTGTAACAGACTTTCATCTCACATTTAGACACTACCAATTGTTTTAGGACCTCCTTATTTTTGGTTCCTATGAAGCACTGACCCTCTTGCTCTGAGCAAGCTCATTCCAGTAGGAGTTGACCAAGTGTCTGCTAGGTCCTGTCTCCAAACAGGAATGAAACCAGTTATATTTGAATACAGTGCTGTATCTAACTGACTCTGTTTACCCAAGGTGCTTCAACATGGTATGAAGGCATATATGGGGGATAGGCAGCTTCCTATCAGATATATGAGTGCTATACAGTATAATATATGGGAATCTAGTGTATCGCTTCCAACATATGTTTGTGTGCTGGTGAGGTATTCATGACACCTTCAGAACAACTGAGCTCAGGCCCTGTATGTCCATCAGAAGTTCACCACTGTGTGGTATTGAAATTAAATGTAACTAGCAAAAACAGACACCAGACTGGAGTTGGAGAGAGAAAAGTGAAATGTGTAGAACTTTAAAACATATTTTAAGATGTTTATCATTTTTGCCAATTAAGAAACATTAAATAAAATCATATCCTGGTGTGTTGTGCCTGTGACATTTAGAGGCCTGGGTGCAAACAGAAAGACTGACTTCTACTTACAAAACTAAATAACCCTTGCAAAAATCCCCAAAATGTTATCTTTCCATTCTGGATATGCAGCATTTCACTTTTAAAAGCTCTAAACTTTGAATATTCATTAAAATGCACATGGTAGAGAAGCATATTAATTTCTTTTATAAGAAAGGGGATCAACAAAATTTGGGAAAAGATTAGCTATGGCGTAAAAGAGGTTGTAAGTGCATACATAGTACAAATTATAAGTGCATATTGGACAAAATTCATTTGGATTGCATTGTCAAACTGTCGGCAGTCACTCATGAACACAGGTGCCAATCTCATGGCAGATTGACACAAATCAGGGCACAAACCCCAAATCAGTTGTGAGTTCTGTAGCTAGATTTCACTAAAAATGTGTCCAGTGTGAACACGTAAAGCTCTATATCAGCCTTAGTCCTGCTAGGCACTACATTACATTACAAATCACAGTGATATTCAGGTTACTCCCAGTCCCAAAGGACAAGTCACTTACCCCAGGTCAGTTACACCTCAGATATCAAATCAAAAACAATGCTTTTGGCCAATTCTAAGTAAAGATGTATAAAGTAGGAAAAGGAAAGAAGAGGGATATTTACACTTAAAGATGGTAAACTTGTGCCCTCAAAACAGATACACTCTTAAGATCCAAAAGCTGCCATATACAAGGTGTGTATGTTCTTTAAGGTCCAGGGGACCCCTTCCTTATGCTTCTCAGAGTTCAAGCAGCTTAGGGATAACTATTTCTCCTTAACAGGGATTTTTATTCTTTCCCCTCAATGTTCAAGTTGTGATAGGATGTGGGCTTGTGCACATAGTCTCTTTGGGAATGCAAAGGAAGCAACTGACAGAGCTTTTTGTCTGCTCATGTTCCACAATGACTTTGCACTTGTATGTTTTACTCAGTGGCTACGTCTAGACTGGCATGATTTTCCGCAAATGCTTTTAATGGAAAAGATTTCCATTAAAAGCATTTGCGGAAAAGAGCATCTAGATTGACACGGACGCTTTTCCGCAAAAGCACTTTTTGCGGAAAAGCTTCCTTGCCAATCTAGACGCGATTTTGCACAAGAAAGTCCCGATCACCATTTTTGCCATCGGGGCTTTTTTGTGCAAACGGTTTTTAGCTGTCTACACTGGCCCTCTTGTGCAAGAACATTTCCGGAAAAGGGCTTTTGCCTGAACAGGAACGTCAAAGCATTTGCGCAAGAAGCACTGATTTCGGACAGTAGAACGTCAGTGCTTTTGCGCAAAATCAAGCGGCCAGTGTAGACAGCTGGCAAGTTTTTGTGAAAAAGCGGTTGTTTTGCGGAAAAACTTGCCAGTCTAGACGCAGCCAGTATGTACTACCAACAGCTTATTAATGTGGACACTGAATATTTTCTTACAGTTGCCTCTTCTATACCCTTGTTAGAGCAACTCCACTGGAGAAAGCATCATAGAAGTACTATTGGGCTATGTCTATGCAGCAGGCTTCTTGTGCAAGAACTGTTTTGCGCAAGAGTTCTTGTAGCAAAGTACTTGGGCAAAAGTGCATCCACACTGCCATGTGCTTTTGTGCAAGAGCATCCATGGTGGTATGGATGCTGTCTTGTGCAAGAAAGCTCTGAAGGCCATTTTAGCCATAGGGGTTTCTTGTGCAAGAAACCCCTGTTGCCTGTCCACACTGCCTTCTTGCGCAAGAGCTCTTGCGCATGAGGGGTTATTCGTCGTGGGGAGAGGAATAATTCTTGCGCAAGAAGCCCTCTGTTCCGAAGCTTTACTGTAAATTTACTTATGCAAGAACACGCGTGCAGTGTAGATGCGCAAGAACAATTGTTCTTGCACAAAAAGCCTGCAGTGTAGACGTAGCTTTGGAGATTTATTAGCTAGCAGTTATTTGATTTTATTATTATTTAATAGAGGGAGAGGCAATGATTTTCCTCTATCTACTGCTTGCTCTCTATTTTCAGTGGACTGTCTGCATTTCATTATAGCTAGCAGTTATTGCTATCAGTTTTTAGCACTTTTTCTACTGACCAGTCATGTCATCTAGATTTGCTCTGAGCTGGGTCAGGTATTTTTAGTATCATATGATCTATGTCCATATTCACATTAGCCCAATAACAGTTGCTACTATCAATGGAGTTGCACTGCTGGTAGAGGAATGGTAGAAAATTTTAAGGAAAATGCCTCTGTAAGCAAGTTCTTGAGTGCTTCAAAATAGTGTTTCTCCATAGCTGGTCCATGAACTGTTCCTGTCCCTGAGATTCCACTGACACAGTTTAAGAAGGTAGCAAGCTGGTTCTCGGTATCAAAAAGATTAACAAATACTGCTTGAAAATTTAGCTATGCTGACTCTTAATAAGTAGCTTTAGGGATGTTCTCTCTATTTCTTCAGAAGCCTTTCACTGTGCAATATGACCTATGACTTCCTACTGCTTATGTCAATAATTTTTTCTTTCCAACACAGACAATAATGTTATGGCCTTGCTGGTGAGTGGAGGGGAAAAGGATATATTTATACACTATTTGTCATAACTCCAACACAATGCGGTACTACAATGAAATGCAGGCAGTCCACTGAAAATAGAGAGCAGGCAATAGATAGAGAAAAATTATTGCCTCTCCCTCTATTAAATAATAATAAAATCAAATAGTAAATTTAAAGACAGAGAGAAAGCCCTGGAATATGTGAGATTCTAAAATAGATAATCGACTCCATACCCGGCAGTGAAAGAGATCTGTTGAGCCTTGTTGTTGCCTCATCAGCTTAAGGAGTTCCAAAGACAGTGACACAGTAGTTTTGAGGAAGAGTGTTCGAAGGTTATGAAAGCCTGGTGGGAAGCTGCAGAAGAAAAGAAACCCTGTTAGAGGGATATAGGAGGAAGAGGTTGCTTATTCATACAAATCCACCTCTTTAAAAACACTGGGGTTCACTTGAAAGATTTTTTTTTTCTGCTAAGCCAGTATACACCAAAACTTGGTAGCCACCTCTTCAGAATTCCTACCAGTCTCCTACTCATCTTTGGTTATACTGTTCTTTCTGGCTCATCTGTATTGATCAAAATAGATTTTAAACTAGATCCTTGTCTGGTGTACAGCAGCACTGATCCATTATTTTCAATGGAGCTACATCAATTTACACTAAGGATCAAACACCTATTCTACAGTCATTCAATTCACTTTAATTTCAATAAAACAACAAAAGAAAAAATCTTTGTTGAAATAAATGAGTTTACGTTAGATATCAATTAAATAGTGATTAAAAGATAAATAATTTGAGGTCATCTATTTGTCACATAATTGCAAATAAAGAAATGAAAGAAATTCTAGGGATTAAAATCCAGATGTAAGCAAAGGGTTTTATAAGTAAGATGTTTGTCATTTATGTTTGTATTGTCTGAAAGAAAGGAGAGAAAGACAGCTTGGTTGAAATGAAGAAGGCCAGGTCCACACTACAGCCAAAGGCCAGCTTAAAGTATGCAATACCAGCTACGTAAAAAACATAGCTGGAGTCGACGTACCTTAAGCCGAGCTTCGGCACCATCCTCACAACAGGAGGCCCATGGGAGAAACACTCCCGTCGACTCCCTTACTCCTTGCAAGAAGTAGAAGTTCTGGCATCAATGGAGGTGACCTCGGCGTTCAATTTAGCGGGTTTTTACTAGACCTACTAAATCAAACTCTGGAAGATTGACCGCCACAGCATTGATCTTCTGGGAAGCGAAAACATGGCTTCAGTTGACGGACTTAGAGTGGACTCAACATTTGTTGTTCCAGAACATGGTATTTGACAATTTAACTGAGCAAGTGATGTGGATGGAGCATAGAAGTGATGGAGATACATGGAATTTTAATTTCCTCCTTATTTTTTCCCATGATCACAGTAGCTTTTATACTGTATGTCACCTTTGCACATCACTCATGGGTGTGTTCAAACAATGGTGTTTTCCAGACAGTGGGATTTCCCACTGTCACGTTAATTAAATTAGAGCAAATTAGACACTTCTTAAACAAAACTATCTTCCTGACAATGGTTCAAAGTTTGGAAAGTAATTCTCCCTTTGCTGGGTTAAACTATATTTAATAAACTGTTAACTACTGTTAAATGCAGATATTATTCTACTTTTGATTACATCCCATTAGATACTTTGTTTTAAAAAAATCAGCTAAGGTTTTTATTTGATTAAAGGAAAGTGAACCTCCTAAGGCTGTCAGAGAATCCAAATGTTAATTAAATGACTGTTTGTCCAGGAGTTGTACTTGTATGTGGTGCCAAAAGAATTGTAAAACTTAGTATATTAGTTGCAATTATAGTGTAGGTCTGAATTAATTAAACAACTAATTTTACAAACACACAGGAGAAACCATGATTTTCAACTAATGTTTTGGCTGTGGGATGAGGTAGCTGAATCTTCTAGACAGAGTGAATAATCTCATACAGCAGGCAAACTGATGAGGATTTGCTGAAATTGGCTACTTGTGCTAACATCATTGACTAAAACCATAAGTCACAAGGTGATACCATAAATTGAGTTGTCATTATCAGCTCTGGGCAGCAAACTAGATGGATAGCAATAATAAATTGTAAAAGAAGTGTAGAATCTAGTTAGTGCAGATAAGCATCCAAAAACATTTAAAATAGATGTTGAAATGAACTTGTGGGTAAAAGCCAATGCACTTTAATTAATACCCAGATGCTACAAGTGTAGGTCCTTATAGGACCTGACAGGATCCCAGAGTCTTAAAAATGTATATGGTTGATTCAAGTGGCCATTTGAAGTAATGCTGACTCTTACTCACTCTGCCAAGATAGGTTCTGATATATCAATTGCTATGCAATACTCAGGTGTTGATACAATGGTATGTTAGATGTGATTTGCACAGTGTTAATCTAGTAACTAAAGGGTTAATTGTTACAGAGTTCACACGAGTTAAGAGGGAATGCAATGAGCTATGGTGTCCCCGTTGACTAGACATACCTTGAACAAGTGAAAGGTGATTGTTGTAGGCAGTGTTCCAGCCAGCCCCTAGTGTAAGTAATGGAGATAGCACAGGGCAAAAGAACAGGTTGAGAAGTGTAGTTTCTTCTGTATGAGAATAAGACTGCTGTTTTAGTTTCTTAAGTTCCAGTCTTATGAGGTTTTCTGTACCCTGAACTTACATGTAGTCAGCAGATGTGATCAAGACCTCACAAGAGCAGTGCTTATACACTTTGCTATATCCCTTTCATATTTAGATGTGAGTTAAGGTATTTTGCTAAAGAATTTCTTGTGTTTCAATGTCTCAGAGGGGTAGCTGTATTAGTCTGTAACTTAAAAACAAGTGGTCCTAAGACACCTTAGAGACTAACTAAAATATATATATATAGTATCATGAGTTTTTGTGGGTAAGACCTCATTTCATCAGATAAAATGTTTTATTGTTCCTGTAAACAAAAGAGTAACCACAGATGCAAATCTCAAATACCTCATGTTGTCATGAAAATCTCAAAATGTATGTAATCAAATTTACAGCTTTATTACATAAAGTAAATAGCACCCTACAAATGGTCGGTAACACAGGATAACCATGCAAGTAACATGACATTTGAAGCCAAGGGCAATTGTTTTCAGTCTACCAAGATATTCAGCAAGGAATCTATATATAACCATACTGAATTTCTCTATTGCTGTTAATAAAATGCTTGCTGTTCTATTTTTGAGTGGATGATAGTCCTGTCCTCTCCTGTGTAGTTATACTTTCACAATAGCAACCTTTTTCATTTACACACATTCTTCTTTCCAAAATGACCATTCTGGTAATGTTATATATGTGATTATATAATAGGATTACAGTAAGAATTTTAACTGAAATTCATAGACAAATTGTTCCTTTTTCCACTTGTTAATTTACTATTTCAAAGTTATACGAATAGAGATTTATTCTTACTGGGAACCATTTCTAAAATGGTTTTTATACTTGCAGTTATGTTTCACATTATTATCGGAGAGTTCATTGCAAGAGTGAAGGAGAGATTCAGCCAATAAGAATACAGCTTACTTCAATTAATATGTGTACATTAGTCATATTTCTTAAAAAGCCAAAATATTTTAACTTAGGTTCCTAAAACAGCAACAAATCTATAGCAGACAATTTACAACTGGCCTGATTTTAAAGTTAGTGAATTTCCCAAACTCATATTGGATACTTTAAATGCATATATCTCTTAAGTACCTTGTGCTTAACTGCCTAATTATTTATTCCTACTTTGAATAAGAGCCTCCGGAAAAAGGCGGAGGATCGGGGCCAGTGTAGACGCTCTTTTCCGGCTTTTTTAAAAGCCAGAAAAAAGCGGCGGACATTTTTATTTAAATGCCGCGGGGGATATTTAAATCCCCCGCGGATTTCCCTACGACGACTCATGAAATTTACATGCTCCTTCCGGAAAAGGGGCCAGTGTAGACGAGCCCCAAGAGAGGAGAAACTGCTTTTGTAGTTGGCTAGCCATTCACAGTCTTTGTTTTGATGGTGTCAAATTTGCAGATGAACTGAAGCTCATCAGTTTCTCTTTGAAGTCTAGTCTTGAAATTTTTTTTACTGCACGATGGCTACCTTTAAATCTGCGTAGCAGATCCAGACTAAGATGGCTACCCCTCTGATACTAGTACTAGTATGAGGAACATGCAAAATATTAAACTTAGTCTGTAAAAATTTAGTTCTCTCAGGGTACATCTACACAGCAACATTATTTCGAAATAACTTAGTCCATGTTTACACAGCAGGCAGTTATTTCAAAAACTGTTGAAATACTGTCAAGCTAGAGGACTTCTTACTCCAACTCCTATAAGCCTCATTGTATGAGGAGTAAGGGAAGTCAGAGGAATGGTGCTCTATTTCGAAATAAGTACTATGTAGATGCTCCCTATTTTGAAATAAAATGCAATTGACATAGTTCAATTTGCATAGCTTATTTCAAGTTAAGCCCTGCTGTGTAGACACACCCTCAGATTCCAGCCATGGAGGTGCTGGATAGCATGTAATTGACTTCAATGGGAGCAGAAGGAACCCATCACCGCATATGTGGTACTCTGTACTTTTCAGTATCAGGCTCTAAATGCTTCATTGTAGGAAGCTACTTACTCCAATAACGTTCATATTCAGGGGCTGATTCCATGTATTGTACATCAGTATAGTGCTGTGTATATATTGCCCATTCTGGCAGCTCACATGGCATGTCTATTTAAAGCTATTGTTTTCCTCTATACTTATCCAAAAGGAGGTAAATTATGGGTATTTTATACACTTCTCTTAAATATAATTATATCTCTTCATTGTTATAGGAAAAATGAAGTTTAGAACTGACTCTTGACACGTGATGCACATTTGGCAGGAGGCCAAGGCAAATCAGAATAAACAACCAGAAGAAAATGCCAAATACAGGAAAATAACAGTAACTTACTATGATTTAATGCCAATAACGTGGTTAAGGTTAGTGGAAACAATCTTTGCTTTTCTTTTTCCCATTGATTGAAAAAGATTTTATAACATATTATGGCTAGTGTAGCATGCTCTAAGTCTATCTGTTATGACAAATTATAAGCTCTACCTTGTCCAAATCATAGCTGTCAAGCTCTTGGGCAAGACTAGGCAAAGAACAGATGTTGAACTGATGCCATACAGCCTCTGTTAACACCAGATTCAAGGTTCTGGCCTTGGGTTTGTTTTTATTTTTTAATACTTCCTAAACAGGGCTCATTCTACCTCAGGAACTGTCTTTGCATTCATGAGGATGACTTCACTCACCAAGCACATGAAACCTAGACCTGCTTAGGGTGAGTCTGGGAACGCACCAGACCTTACCTGCATCTTACTGTGGAATCCTGTTCTGTGGCTGCTTGTATTATACTTCTTGGTTAAGCTAGAATCTTTCATACATCTTACCTTCACTTCAAGATATTTAAAAAATCCTCTCCCCTACCCTTCAGCTGGTTCCTTCAGTTTCATAAGAACTATCTACTCCACAAAGTTCTGTATCTTGGATTTAATTGACTGATCATCTTAACACAGTGGATCTCAATCTACAGCTTGTGGAATGCTCGTGCTCTGTGAAGCACTTGCTAGTGGTACACAAAGAGTGAATTAATTATCAGGGAATTAGATATCCTGTTGGGCACTTGAGGCATCTAAATCCAAAATTTATATTCTATAAACCTTCATGCAGCTGCTTCCTAACAATGGAGCGTCTACCTATCCTAGGTACCTGTTTCCATAGGTGAAGTTCCCTAGGAACCTAGAAGTCTGTCAATGAGGCTATGTCTAGATTGCAGGCTTCTTTTGGAAGAAGCTTTTCCAGAAGACATCTTTGGAAAAAACTTCTTCCTAAAAGAGAGCGTCCACACTGCCAAAGCACATCAAAAAAGCAATCTACTTTTTCGCATTTAAGCTGTGATTACTATGAATGGAGTGGCCACCAGGGCACCTGTGCTTTTTCCTCTTTCCTCTTCTTTCGAAATAACTCCCTCTTCCCCGTCCATACACACCTTTTTGTGAAAGAGCTCTTTCAGAAAAAAGGCTTCTTCCTCATAGAAAGAGGTTTACCAATGTCGGAAAAAAACCTCTGGTTTTTTTTTTTTTTTTTTTTTTTTTTTTTAAATTTCAAAAGAACGCGATTGCAGTGTGGAAAAACTGCTGTTTTTCCCAAAAAAATTTGTAGTGTAGACATAGGTGACTTTGCACATGCTCAGGCTAAGTCATGGTGCACAGTGCCTAGTTTATGCCTAGCCTCTGGCTAGCCATACCCCCACATGTCTCACCTGTGGGTCCTCACCAAATAGGAGCACTAGGAGAGAACCTTAGAATATGTCTACTGAATCAGACACTGTCCAAAAAGTAGGTAGAGATGTACCATTACAGCAGTGGTCACTACTTTCTGATGAAACTGTTCCATTTGGTATAACTGAATAAGCATTCATTTGGTCAAAGAGAGAGAGAGGCTGACTATAGCCTTTGGTTAGAGAAATCCCCTGCTATGTGCAAGCACACCTGTTCCAGTCCATGTCAGGCAGAGTCATGAACAACCTGGGTCAGTGTTCTAACCACTTTGGTAGAAGGAGAAGCTCTGCTTCATCTTCATCATCTTTTTTTTTTTTTAAATGGGAAAGGACTGACTTGGCTTAGGTGCCTAAGTCTAAGGGTGCGTCTACACGGCAAGGCTTAGCTTCAAATAAGCTATGCAAATTGAGCTACGTCAATTGCATAGCTTATTTTGAAATAGTTTATTTCAAGTTTTGGTGCTGTCTACACAGCACCTATTTCAAAATAGAGTACTCTTCCTCCGACTTCCCTTACTCCTCATACAACTAGGGTTACAGAAGTTGGAGTAAGAAGTCCTCCAGCTTGACAGTATTTCGACATAATGTTGAAATAACTGCCGGATGTGTAGCCCCTGTGCATAGCTTATTATTTCAAAATAGCCATGCAGTATAGATGTACCCTTTGACGATATAGCCTCAGGATATGGCTACACTTCATTCCTCTCTCGAGAGAGGAATGCAAATGCAGACACCTGAAATCGCAAATGAAGCGGGGATTTAAATATCCCGCGCTTCACTTACATAAGTGCGATATGGCACTATTTCAAAATACCACTATTTTGAGAGGAAAAAATGGGGTATTTTGAGAGAAAACCTTTCCCTTGAAGTAACCCTTACTCATATTTCGAGGGAAGGGTTTATCTCTAAATAACCCCGTTTTTTCTCTCGAAATACCACTATTTCAAAATGGTGCCATAATGTGATTATGCAAATGAAGCGCAGGGAATTTAAATCCCCGCTTCATTTGCAATTTCAGGTGTCTGCATTTGCATTCCTCTCGAGAGAGAGAAAGAGGAATGAAGTGTAGACATACCCTAAGATGCTAAATATTTTCATCTTACTAAATTTAAAATGATAAAAATATAGTAGATGCTTTACTAACATTGCAGCAATTGCTAACAAGGAAAAACAATTTCTCCCAGGAATTATATGTGACGATGAATGGGCGGGGATAGAGGGAGTTAGTTGTGCAATAACAAATGGATAAAGATATATCCATGAGATGATCTTTCTAGCCCATGCTAAGTAAAGGTTTGAGAACGCCTATAAACCAGAACATTTGATGAGGAGTCACACTTAATATTCCAAAAATACCTGATATCCCTTAAAAATACCAGCAGCCAGGAAAGAGCAATAATTTGATAACAATAAAGAACAGCTTCTAAGATCAACTATCCCACATTCTTGGATATTTTTGTAATATAATAAACCTTATATACAGCAGATTTGGAGATTAACATGACTACTAGATGATGAAGTCAATGCTGCTACAATATCAACATTATGAAAAAATCCGAGATAATTTACTCTCCATTTTAAGATATGGCATTTTTAAAAAAAAAAAATTCTTCACATTTAGTTAACAAAATAGACCTCCAAAATCTAGTTCAGTTTCCATTTAGCTCATCTGATGTTTAAGAACAGATGACAGGCATCTGATTTCAAAAGTCTACTCCTTGTTCTTATTATCATCATTTCACATGAACATAACTGCTTTTATGTAATGTATAATTTTAAATACAAAAACTGTAATGGCATTTCAATAACTTTGAAAGCAGACAGTTACTTTCCCTGAATTGTGTTAAAATCTGTTACAAGTGAGAGGATATAGCCAAGAAGTAAGGGTGGAGATTGTTGCTGCGTAGCATGCATGAGTTGAAGGAAAAAGGGAAAGAAAAGAGAATTGTTGGCAGCACTCTGTAAAACTTTCAGAACTAAACTTAAAGACAGACAAAACTTTCCTGGCTTATGTTTCATTATAGCCTTGAAATCTGGACCAGCATAATTGATGCTTATGCACTTGAGCCTATTTCAGCCCAATATGATCCAATTTATAGTTTCAGATGCAAAGCTTATTCTCCTTGACATACAGCTAAACTTAGCAGTTTGGATTGAGTTCTGTTCTGAAGTTCTAGGGTGAAGTTATGAAAATTTCAGAATGAAACTCAGGCTGTTGGAACCAAAACCAAGAAAAAAGGTTTGGATGAACTCCTACAAGCCATTTTTGAGATTCACGTGAGGCTGATAATTATCTATTATGATATAATATGAGAAGTAAAAGAAGCACACACTAAGGAATGGAGTTTCCGTAAGACAGGCCTTTCCAAGTGCAAGCTAATACAACCCACTATCAGTTTTAACATGCCAATAAAAGGAGGTTTTTCATAGCATGCAGCAAGTTTTAAATCAATAAAAAATGTAGCTCTGTGTTATACTTACTTTTTAAGATGCACTTAACCTCTACGACAATGGCCTTACTGAAAGGGTAGGTGGACCTTATTCTGCACAGGGTAACTACAGAGTTTCAAACTCTGCCTGCATACAAGACCACAAAGTGCTGGATTTGCCTCTGGCCAAAATCTGCAGAAGGAGTACCAGGCCACAGTCTATCCAAGACCAAGCCCCCAAAATCAAAACAAATGCCATATAATCCATTCCTTGCTGTATGAGCATTGTGAAACGTTCCTGTAAATGTAACCTGCTTCCTATAGGCTACATTTCCTTTTACTTGATCAGTCTGTCTCCCCTTGCTGTGACTGTGCTGCCTATGGGAGGATGGGATAGAGTGGAGAGACAGACCAATTTTCTGTTACAGAATCTCCTACCATTGTAGAAAGGGAGTGTTGGGAAAATGAGGGTTTGAAAGGATTAAAGAGACACTGAACCAAATTGCAGGCAGATGATGATGGGAGACTCGGAGAAAAAGGACTTCCAACAACCTCCTCTCTAATTTTTGTTCCCTTGTCTGGATGAAAAGCACCCTCAACTTGCTGTGGCCCTCTCTTTTTCCTAGATAATTGATAGGAGTGAAGTGGAACAACAGTCAGCCAGGGAGAACCTGCCTCCATATTTAAAAGTGAGAAGACACACTAATAATATTTAGTTCATTTCCTAATGAGCCCAATTGCAATTGGATTTGGTGGTGTAACTTCCCTATTGAGAAAGGGACAGTCTTGAATGGAGAACATCTGACATAGCATTATGAAGCTGCCACAAATAAGGAAGTATCCTCTCAGAACAGAGAGCAGTATACAAGTCTCAGTAGCCACAGAGGTTCACAGAGCATCTGTTGGACACAAATTACTTAGTTTCTATCCAGTAGAAAAGTAACTTAAGAAAAATACAATTATTTTATCTGTACTGATAATTATATGAAATTGATCATATGTGGAAGAAGTTGTTAGTTCTACAACAGCTGTTATATTCCAACACTGAGACATTTCCTATTGCAGCAACATATTTGTATTAGATTATTTTTGGAATAAAGAATTAATTGGAGAAGATTTTGATATACAACTTTTTAATCCATCAGAAATATTAACATTCTGAAATCTCCTCTTTTCTTCTTCAAATAATAAAAAAGTATAGTGTAATTCATTTTCTATCTTTTTGGTTGTTTTTGTAAATATTTATATACGTTTCATAGTCTTAGCAGCAGCATTAGTAAAGGTTTTCTACACCTTTCTATAAAAAAAAATCAAGATGTTGGGGTTTTTTTTCTTTCCTAAATATATGAAATAGAAAGCAAAAAGAGAAATAACACCTTAGCCCATAGATCAGTTCTTTCACTTGTGTGGAAAAAAGTAATTTACTTTACAGTATTTGTCTTTTGTTTACAAGGGTAAAATGCTAACTTTTTCTCTATTATTTTACAGATGAAATTTCTTAAATCCTGTTATGAAGTCTGGTTAACAATGACATGGAGTTTTGAGGAACAAGGTCACAGCTTTGACTGTTTTTGAATGAAATATACTGAAAGAAAAAGAAAAGCTTGGTCTTGATTACCTATAGTACAGATTAGTTTGAAGGAAGTAATTATTACCAATCTGTACCGTAACAGTTGGATTTAACTGCAGTGTAACATTTAAGTTCCATAGAGCAGAGACTATCTTACTGTTCTTAGCCTGTACAACATATATCACAATGAGACTGTTGTCCATAACTGAGGATCCTAGATGCCCCCTTAAAATAAGCAATATAATATTTCTCTTATTCAGTGCGGATTGTTTCTTTAGTTACTTTAATTTTATTTTTGAATATTTATAATTTATCTTTAGCTCTGAGAGCAAAATTACCAAAGGTTCTTACATCAGATGTGCCACTCCCAGGCTGTGTCTAGACTGGCAAGTTTTTCCGCAAAATCAGATGATTTTGCGGAAAAACTTGCCAGCTGGCTACCACGGCCCACAATCTCATGTAAGATCGTCAGTGCTTTTCCGGAAATACTATGCTGCTCCAGTTTGGGCAAAAGTCTTTTTCCGAAAGACTTTTGCGCAAAAGGGCCAGTGTAAACAGCACAGTACTGTTTTCCGCAAAAACGCCCCGATCGCGAAAATGGCGATCGGGGCTTTTTTGCAGAAAACCACGTCTAGATTGGCCACGGACGCTTTTCCGCAAAAAGTGCTTTTGCGGAAAAGCATCCTGCCAATCTAGACATGCTTCTCCGAAAATGCTTTTAGCGGAAAACTTTTCCATTAAAAGCATTTTCGGAAAATCGTGCCAGTGTAGATGTAGCCCCAATGTATATATTGTCATATGCCCTGATTCTCATCTTGTAGAAATATAAGACCGCAGCCTAGTAATCAGATCTGCATGAACAGTACCTTGGGACTGTGCAGAGCCCATTGACTTCAGTGCAAATTCAGTCAATCCACACAGAGCTAATTGCAGGTTAGCAACCTTCAAACAGAAGTGAATCTGCTGTTATCAGATGCAGTTAGACGTAGGTAAAACAGTTATGTAAGCAAAAAAGAGAACAGGACCCATAACAGATTTGCATATGCAAGTTCAACCAAAGAAATAAAATACCTGCACACACATGCAGATGAGGGCTTTGCAGGTGCACTGGGCTTTGAAAATATGGTCATTTTAGATAGTCCATTTGCTTACAGCCCTCTTCTAAGTGTAATGAACAAGTAGTTCTGAAGGAAATTGAAGTTGGTTCATTAGATACTTTTTCATATCTCATAATGTCAAAATGAAAACAAAGTGAACAATATGTACCAGATTAATTGATAGTACAGGAAATGTGACTTTTCAGTTCTGAAATATTTTAAGATTGTATTTTATTAGGTAAAGAAGAACATATTTATAGGAAATATTAAATTTTTGCAGAATTTTCTGTCTTCTCTGTTTCTTTCACATTTTATTTTGCCTTTTTATATTTATGCGGTTTGTTTCACATGTTCAGCAATCACAATATATCTCTTATAAACCTACTTTTCAGTCAAAATGTATTAAAATTGTATTTAAAGTACCTTTAAATGCCATCAACAGATTTTTATTTTTGTTGATATTTCTGGCTTCACTGCATGTCAAAATGTAATTTTTTAAATCAAGCCTACAAGCCTAATTCAAGATAAAATGTGCATAGAAATTAGGGATGTTAAAACTGTTAGCTGATTAAAAACTATCATTTAACCAGTTAGCTGTTTTAAAAAAGGTCCCATCACCCAGCCCCACTGTGGCCAGGGTCCTGCTGCCTAGCCCACAGGCCCCCAGTAGCCAAAATCGCTCCAGCATAGCATGTCTGGCCACTGCCAGAGTTAACTAGCAAGGGCCAGTTAAACAGTGAGCATGCAGTAAGCCTCATGCTTACCAGTATGCTTACCAGTTAACCAGCTAACATCCCAAACTGAAAACAGGAAATCAATTGTCTTCCTGTAGCTTAGTTTTATGAGAGTAACAGAACTTTAAATAATTTTTCTTATTATTGTCTGGCAGACATCTCTTTTACCAGTCTAGTAACTAGTAAGTTGTATAATTCAAATTTTGTCATAAAATAAACGGCATAAATTGTCTCTCGATTCAGACTTTTCATTAACTTGAAGTCCTGGAGTCCTCAGGCTTTTAGCCCAGCTCTGTTCTTTTGCAGGAAGCCAGCTTGGTAATGAAGTGGGAGGGGCGTTTAGTATATGTGGTCCTGATTTTGAGAAAATGAGTATTTTGAACTTGATCACTTAAATGGAAATTGCATCAAGATATTATGGTGATGAGTTCAATATATAAGCCTATATAGAATGGACTAGATACTAGTGATGGAGGTATTGAATATGGGTATAATAGACTAGATTGGCTAAACTTACTCATCCTCTGAGCTTCATATGACAATCTTCAGAAGCTTGTGAGCTGGGAACCAGCAGGTGGGGCTCAGGGCTTCACCCCCGCAGGCAGCTTCTGAGAGGACTCAGGGCATGAGCCCTGCTCTTGCTGAAGCCTTGAGCACTACAGTAGCTTTCCACAGAGCTGTAGCCCCAAGATCCTCCTCCCCAGTGGATAGAACCCCTATCCCTCCACCGTGGTGCACGACAGAGGTTCTGAGCTCCCCCTGCCAGTCTGATAGATAGAAAATGAGAAGGTGTGGGAGACTCCATGAGGTGCACTTGGTAAAAGAGCCACATATGACTCACAAACTGCAGTTTGGCCATCCCTGTAATATATTATATTTCAGTAAAGTATTTGCAAGATATACAATGCACAAGATAACCAGTTTGACATAATCATGTTTATTGATTCAGGCAATATAGATACAATGTAAAGAACATATTGCAGTTCTGCCTTGATATCAAAGCTTGCATTACATTCCAGTGTATCTTTCACATATGTTCAGTCCAGAAAAATTGTGTACAAACTTGTTACATCAGGAGCACACAATGGAAAAATGTCTGTCTCCATTCTGGCTCTCCTGCAAATAAATGGAGAACACACCCACAGGGCATGTCCAACAAGGGTACAATTAAGGGATAAGGAAGAATGGTCCATATGTGTAGGTATGGTCATGTACATGGACCATGCAGGGTGTGTCTATATGGATGAGACAGTGGTGTTCAGCAGCCATTAAATTTATTAGACACTGGGCAACCTTTGTGAATGGAGAAACCTATACAGGAAGGATGGGATCCTCCTAAACCATTCTGTGGTCATGTAAAATTATAGAGCAGTTTTAATCTAAAGATTGGGGAAACGCCAACAAAGGAACACATGGTTTGAACAGCGCCATCCCCTAGGGAAGAATTTATTAAAGGGGATGCTCTACATCCTAGTAAAGAGGAGAGATAAGTGAAGAAAAACAGTCAACATAAAAAGAGAGAGTCCCATTCAATTACATCACTTGAAAACAGACACCAAAATATTGACAAGATTTATAAGTGCTGATATACAAATGTTAGAAGTTTAAATACTATGATGGGTGAACTTGAGTGCCTGGTATTAAATGCTAATATTGATATAATAGGCATTACAGAAACTTGGTGCAATTGTAATAATCAATAGGACATGGTAATAACAGGGTACTAATATATAGGAATGACAGAATAGGTTGTGCTGATGGGGGAGTGGCATAAATATGAAACTGTATCATAGAATCTCTATAGATAAAAATTTCATGCTTGAATAATAAGAGTACCGCAGTAGGAATATACTAATGATCACTTCAGTAGGATGGTGACGGTGATTGTAAAATACTCAGAGAGATTAGAGAGGCTACAAAGACAGAAAATGAAATAATAGTGAGGGACTTCAACTATCCTGATATTGTCTGGGTAAATATTACCTCAGGAAGGGATGCAGAGACAACATTTTAAACACCATGAATTACAGCTTCATGGAATAGTTAGTCCTGGAACACATAAGGGGAGGGCAGTCTTTGATTTATTCCTAAATGGAGCACAGGATCTGGTCCAAGAGATGAAAACAGCTGAGCTGCTCAGTAGAAGTAATCAAATGCAATTAAATTTGACATCCTTCTATGGGGGAAAGTACCAAAGAAACCTACTATGGCATATTTAACTTAAAAAAGGGGAGCTATATAAAAACAAGCAAACTAGTTAACCAGAAATTAAAAATGAACAGTTACAAGCATGAAATGCCTACAAGCTGCATGAAAACTTTTTACAGTGTAACAACAGAGACTCAGACCAAATGCATACCCCAAATTAAAAACAACAACAGGATGAGGACTGAAAAAAAACAAGTTCCACCATAGCTAAACAACAGATTAAAAGGGCAGGTAGGGTGCATCTACACGGCAGGGCTTACCTTGAAATAAGATACACAAATTGAGTTACGTCAGTTGTGTAGCTCATTTCTAAATAGAGAGCGTCTCATAGCACTTATTTCGAAATAGAGCACTCCTCCTCCGACTTCCCTTATTCCTCGTACAATGAGGGTTACAGGAGTTTCAGTGAGAAGTCTTCCACCTTGACAGTATTTTTACACTATTTTAACATAACTGCTTGCTGTATAGATGCGGACTAAGTTATTTCAGAATAGTGCTAGTTATTTTGAAATAGTGTTGCATTAACTAGAATTATTTTGAAATAACTTAGTCTGTGCCTACACAGCAAGCAATTATTTCAAAATATTGTCAAATACTATCAAGCTGGAGGACTTCTTACTCCGACTCCTGTAACCCTCACTGTACGAGGAGTAAGGAAAGTCAGAGAAAGAGTGCTCTATTTCTAAATAAGTGCTGTGTAGACGCTCCCTATTTCGAAATAAGCTACGCAATTGAAGTAGCTCAATTTGCGCAGCTCATTTCCAGGTAAGCCCTGCTGTATAGAGGGAGATAAAAAGACATCCTTTAAAAACTGGAAGTCAAATATTACAGAAGAAAATGGAAAGGAACATAAACTCTGGCAAGTCAAGTGTAAAAGTATAATTAGGCAGGCCAAAAAAGAATTTGAAGACCAACTCCAGATTAAGGAGTCAGTAAAGAAAGTTTTACAACAGAGTGATAAATTAAGCAGCAATAAGTTGTCAGGGTTAGATGTCACCCATGAGTTCTGAAGGAACTAAAATATTAATTCAAATATGAAATTGCAAAACATGTGGTATGAAACCTATCACTTAAGAGATCAACTGTATCAGATGATTGCACAATTGCAATTCTGACTATTACAGGTGATTTAAACTTCAGTACCAGTCAAATGGTTGAAACTATAGTAAAAAACAGAATTATCAGACACTAAGATGAACCCTGGACATTGGGAAAGATTGAACAGGGCTTTTCTAAAATGAAATCATGTCTCACCAATCTGTTAGAATTCTTTGAAGGAATCAGCAAGCCTGATCCAGTGGATATAGTGTACTTGAACTTTTAAAAACCTTTCACAAGCTCCCACGCCAAAGGCTCATAAGCAAAATAAGCAGTCATGGAACAAGAGGTAAGACC